TTATGAATTTTCCCAGGACTTGAAAACTTGCAAATCCAATATTATGGACTCCAATACTCACGAAAAATAAAAGAAAAGAAGAGATGCAAACCACAAAAATTTGCAACAAAAAGGGATGGAAAAGTTTAGAAGATGTAGAAAGTGTTTAAGGTTAGCAACCCAATCGGTCGCCTCTCTAACAACCCTATCCCTTCGATTTATGGATAAAACGGCTAGTGAAAAGGCTCCAATGAACAACTAACAAAGCTCCACAAGTAGAAAAACACCTATTCTACTCGCATGCATCAACGAAGCACAAGCTTGTGTGCAATGCACTAGTCTTCGAAAAGAATAGAAAAAAAAGAACAAAGAGTTTCCTCTCGTCTCATATTGAATAATTCATCAAAGGTACAAATAAAGGCTGGCCAAGCAACCCTATTTATAGTAGAGGGGGCCGAAATTCTCCTATGAAGTAGGAGAAGAGTTTGATCTCTAGCTCTATTCCTACTTTAAAGAACTAGAAATCAACTTAACCTCTAATTGACAACTTGTGTCTTATCCATTAAGGCAATGTATCTAGACACCTTTATAGACTTAAGACACACTAGTCTATTGAAAATAAAACTCCAAATACAAAGAGATATTCTCTCAAAAGAATCTTATCCTTATCTTGAAAAGAATCTTCCTGAGTTGTCAACTCTATCAATATCTTCTTTGTAGAGTAATCGTAGCCATCCAATCTTGATCTAATCTCCATCCAACGGTTGAGAGTAGACACCAAGGAATAGACTTCTTATTTGAATAAACTCTAAATTAGATAAAAGAGAATCATATCAAATCTTATCCTTTCATGTGATAAGATTTAAATGATCTTATCTCTAAAAGATAGGCAATCTTCCAAATCTTATCCTTCCATAAGTGTGATAAGATTTAAATGATTTTATCCCGAAAAGATAGAGATTCCAACTCCTAAAAATTAGGAGATAGCACCGGCCTCCCTTGCTTGGTTTGTGAGCCGAAATTTCCTTCCTCAAATGGGCCTTGTAACATATTAATAATCTTGGGCTTGTAACTTCCAGACTTGACATTCTCTTGGGCTAAACCATTTGATATAAGATTATTAAGTGCACTCCTCATCCTTTTACTTCTAACTTGAGTCATTGGGCCTCCAATGGTTGATACTGGATCTTGAGCCACTCCTTGAGCTTGCACAGTACTTGGAACCCGGACACTTTGATCATCTTGGACTTGATTACCATGGATGTTCACATCATAGGGGCTCCACTTTTTTTCTCATGGAAGCATATACCCTTCCCGCAATCGGAGAATGTGGAAATATGACAAAACTGCAAGCACCGATTGCGGTATTAAACAAGAACCGCAAATAGCGAATGCGGAAATAAAAACCGCAATTGTGCATTGCGGAAATCGTTCAAACTGAGAAATAAAAAAATAATTAATTACAATTAATTTTATTAATCACAATTAATTTATAAAAACCGCAATAGTGAAATGCGGAAATCAAAATCACTGCAATAAAGTTTTCTTGAAATCATGATAATCGCAATGTTTGGTAGCAGAATTTATTATTTATAATTTTTTTTAATTTAAAGTGATTAAGTTTACAGAAAAATAGCAATTAATGAAATTCAGTTGATTTTGTTGTTATGCTGATTTTATTCAAGGGCCGGAAAATTTTATATGTTATGCACGTTTGACTGCATGAATTAATCATTTTGTGATTACAATTGTTGTAATAATTAGAAATAAAATTAAAATGGAGGGAAAAATATTAAATTTAAAACAACATGGAGTTATATTAATTAAAAAGATTAAAATGTTTCGGCTGCATAAAAAAATTAATAAAAAGACTGCAACTGTAAAAGCACATTGCTAGCACACTACATATCTTAATTTAAAAAAAAGAATCAATTTATGAATTAAAATTACTGCTTTGAAGGAAAAAAAGATGTCATCTAAACCCATAAATAAGGTAAAATAAATAAATTTTCTAAAAATATATTATAGTTTATTATTTGCTGACATTAAATTTGGTCAGCGAAATTTTTTGAAAGTTATGTAAATATTTATTATATCTTTCACGTTAAAATAGAATTATTAACAAAAAAAAATCATTATTAACCCAAAGAAAACCAAATTATTATAAAAAAAAACTGAAATTAACAATGAGCAAAAAAAACTGAAAAAACAAAAGTTGGTTTCGGGTAAAAACTGCGAAACTCAAATGCGGATTTTAGGGACCATATTGAGCTACATGGCTCAATCTGGGATAAAATGTTCAAAATTTGCACCACGCAAGTAGCTTATCTCATTTCCTTATTTGGCCAATGATATTCTGTAGAATAGTGTATAAATTTATCAAATTTGTGATTATAAATGTTAAAAAGAAAAGTGATATAAAAAATTAGAAATTAAATTAAAAGGAGGATAAATATTTAAAAAAATTACATGTTGAGTCTAGCTGCATGTTACGTTAAATTTTTGTCCTTAAACTAAACAATATATACTCGGTCAAAACCGCATAGCTCGAATGAGGTTTCTTTCATGGACCAAATTGAGCCACGTGGCTCAATCTGATGACAACATTTGAATTCGGTCAAAACTCAAAACTGCAATATGGACTCCTGTCTAAAGTAACACTACCATGAATTTGGGGTCAAAAAAAATTATTCAAAATGAAGAGTTCAGTTTCTAATTTATTTATTTTTTATAACCCATTAATTATTTTCTCCTTCTTCGTCTAAATTCACCCCTCCCCGACTGAAACCCACACCCCAGGAATGCCTCCCAACCCTCTCGGAACCCATATTATCCGGCGACGTCAAGGTTGTCGGATTTGTCCGCCAAATCCAACCGTCACCCCCTTCCCTGACTGAAACCCACACCAGATCAATCGACCATCACCCTAACCCACCCCCTCGTTGTCGGACGCCGAACCCACCCCCTGTCGCCGGGGAAAAACAAAGAAAAATATGAAACAAAGGTCGCCAGTTTCAATTCGCGTGACCATGACCCTAATCCACACTAACCCATTGCTGGATTATGCCTATTAATATAAATCATGTACCTTTAGCCGGCTCCCACATCGAAGACGTTCGCCCCCCTGTTGCCGGGAAAAATCGAGGAAAGTGGCTTGACAATTTTCGGAGGAGAACCAGGCCGGATCCCAGATCCCCGACCGTATAGTAAATTTAAATAATTTTTGTAGTTTGACCTTTTTAAGTTTTGACATATTAAAATGGCTAAATTCTAAGATGACCCCTATTAAATTACAAAATAGACACCCTTTTTAAAAATGGCACCCTTTAACTTCTTTTCTTATTTGAACCATGTGCCAATGAAAATTTTTTCATTTACACCCTTAATAAAAAAAATTCTATTTGAATTTTAACCCAAATAATATAGTATTTTACACAATGTTGAATTTGTATTCCCTCGGTCCTGAAAAAACGTTTCACTTTAGTGTCAGTGAACATCAAATGAAAATTATTTCAAAAAAATAGTGTGAGTAGTAACATTAATAACAATAATTCAACACTATACTACTCAGTTTGACTTAAATAGCATCAATTATTGACCAAATTTGTTCTTTTTACATATGTAACTACTTAGTATTACTTAAACAGAATCTTTTGTTGATCAAACTTGTTTTTTTAATATATTTACTACTTAGTTTGTCTTAAATACAACCTGTTATTGATCAGATTTGCTACTTTTATATATATACTACTTAGTTTGACTTAAACAAAATCTGTTACTGATCAAATTTGGTATATTTAATTATGTATTACTTAATTTGACTTAAAGAGTATGATCAAACTTATTCTTTTTACATATTTACTACTTCTACATATATATACTACTTAGTCTAACATAAACATAATCTGTTATTGATCGAATTTGTTCTTGTTAAGATATGTACTACTTAGTTTGACTTAAACGAAATCTGTTATTGATCAAAGTTATTTTTTTTTACGAATTTAATTGCAATATTTTGCAAAATACTGTTCACGTTCACCAATTTAATTGATAATCATGTTTTCACTTGGCATACTCCATTCGAAGACATAATTTCAATTCAAAATAATATCAAATTTCACTAATTTAAATGTTCTATTCAACTGCCTAATTTAATTAAATTTACTTATATCATCTTCACATCTACAAAATGAAAACACTTCACAAAAATGCAATAAATTATTTAGCTAATAAATATTTTGACAAAAAAAAATTTGTTGTAAAAAAATTTACCTAAGTAATTCAAACAACATTATTTTTTAATATTGAATTCTGAAAACCGCATAAAAGGCATGCGGTTTTGACTTTCTCATTTTTAATTTTAGTTTGACTTTTTATTTAGACCATATTATTTAAAGACTTCAATGGACCGGATTGAGTCACGTGGCTCAATCTGGTTGTTTCATTTTTATTACCCATTAGTTAAAAAAAAAAAAAAAAACTAACCCCAGGGCCACCCCCACTTCTCCCCAACTAAAACCCACACCCCAAGACTGCCCCAACCTCTCCCGGAACCCATATTATCCGGCGATATCAAGGTCGCCAGATTTGTCTGCTAAATCCAACCAGCATCTCCCCCTTCCCGATTGAAACCCACACCAGATCTTTTTTTAATTTCAGCTTGATTTTTAAAATTTTTTTGCCCTGTTTCTTTTGTTCAAAATTAACTTTTTTTAAAAAAATAATTAAATAGTTACAACCGCATTCTTTCTATGCGGATTTAACTTCTCTTCACTTTTGAATTCTGTATTTTTTGACCAATTCATTCCGGCAATTTTTTCTTAATTCTTTTACCATAATTTACTAAAACTGCATACTACCTGTGCGGTATTACTAATTAATTTTTTTAGGAGTTCCACATACCTAAATTGCGGGAAGGGTATTTGCTTCTACGAAAAAAATCAGAGCATATTTCAGTCCAGAATTGGTGTTTCCAAGGTTACTAATCTCATTCACCCTACATTCTGAACTCTGTTTCCTTCCTAAGCTTCTTCTTCTTCTCCGTTCAAATTCCCATCCCCCTTATTTAGGGTTTCTTCCCCTACCAGTCTGTTTTGGAACTTTGATTCCCTCATCCCCTTTAATGCTTGCATCACCCTCCAGATATGTTGAGACCGAGTACAATCAAGCAAAAGATGACTAATAGTCTCAACAGCAGCCCCACAACGGAAGTAGACTGCAACTGTAGTTTTACCTCGGCGTAAGAGAGCTTGTAGAGTAGGGCATGCATCAGACAAAGCTCTCCATAAAAAGAACTTGATCTCCTCTGGTATTGCAGCATTCCACAATTTTTTCCACACTGCTGGCGGCACAATAGGAGTTGTTTTAGAGGTAGAGGTAGCTGCTGACAGATGTATTGTGAGATTACATGCTTGATAGTAGCCCGAGCGAACCGAGTATCGACCATGAGACTCTAAGGACCAATATAAATGATCCGAATGCGTCTGCTGGTCTACTGGAAGATAGATGCTTAGTATTCGGGGAATAAGCTGTGGTAGAAATAAATTTTCCAACCCTGAAATGTTCCATCCTTCAGAGGGATGAATGAGATGATCCACCTGTAAAGCAGCATTCTGTATAGCAGCATCAAAAGCCAGAGGGTTATGCGTGCCTGGAATCCAATTCGTCGTGAGCGGAACATGATGGCCATTCGCTAGGTGCCATTTAAGCCCAGTAGAGAGTAAGTCACGGCCCCAAAGTATGCCTCGCCAACCCCACATAGCCGATTTCCCAACTTGAACGTGAAGGAAATCCTGCTGGCGACAATATTTAGCCGAATATATGCGGGCAAGAAGAGTTTGGGGATTTTCAAGTATTTTCCAAGCTAACCGAGCTAATAAGGCGTGGTTCATGGGTGTATCAGCATGCATTCCCAAGCCTCCGTGGAATTTGGACATACAAATGGAACGCCAAGCTTTCCAGTGGACTTTATGTCCTTCAAGATCACCCTGCCATACAAAATGTGCCACTGCTCGATCAATGTTGTTCGTTATTCCTTTCGGGAGTTTAAAGATTCCCATAACATATTGGGGAAGCGTGGAAAGAACATGACGAGCTAAGGTAATTCTACACATAGGAGACAAGGATTCTGTGCGATAATTTGCAATCTTGCGTTGGATCTTTGTCACAATATCAGAAAAGATACGACTCCGCGGCTGGCCAAAATCGGTCGGCATACTGATACAAACTAAATGGCTGGCATAAAACATGATACTGCATTGATCGGTCCACAGAGGGACTATATATACACATCATTTAGGGTTTACGGTGGAAACCCTAGTACGTACAAAAGGACGAAACTAATCCTATACAAATATATATACATATATCGTAACACCCCCCCTCAAGGTGGAGCATGCGGGGTTCGAATGCCCAACTTGGACAAAAAATAAGAAAACTGCCGTTGACCCAAAGCTTTAGTGAAGATATCGACGAGCTGTGAAGCGGTGGGAACATAAGTAGGTGAAATGACCCCCTGAATAAACGCATCACGCAAAAAATGACAATCAACCTCGATGTGCTTAGTACGCTCATGAAAAACCGGATTAGCAACAAGATGAAGCGCAGACTGACTATCACAATGAAGGCTCATAGACTGAGAATGTCGAACACGTAAACTCAGTAACAAAGCCTTCAACCACTTCAACTCACAGACAGTATTAGCCATAGCACGATATACAGCCTTAGCAGACGAACGAGAGACAACTTGCTGCTTCTTAGTTCGCCAAGAAATAGGAGAAGTGCCAAGAGTAATAAACCAACCAGTGAGAGAACGCCGAGACAGAGGACAACCAGCCCAGAGTCACACCAACCATAGAGCTGGAGGTCACAATCTGCGAGAAGCAAAATACCCTGACCTGGATGCAGTTTCAAATAACGAACAACTCGGAGAGCAGCCTCCCAGTGAGCCTGCTGTGGAGCTTGCAGGAATTGAGCCAACATATGAACCGAGTAAGAGATATCAGGACGGGTGACAGCAAGATAGATCAACCGACCAACCAGACGATGATACGGCTTAGGATCAGAGAGTGGAGAACCCTCAGCCAGAGGAAGATGATGATTCTGGTCCATGGGAAAAGTAACAGGTTTCGCACCCAAAAGACCAACTTCCGAGAGAATATCCAAGGCATATTTTCGTTGACATAAAAATATGCCAGAGGAATTACGGGAAACCTTAATACCCAAGAAGTACTTAAGAGGGCCCAGATCCTTCATGTGAAAACAAGTACTCAAATACTGTTTGAAAGCAGTAATAGCAACATGATCATTACCAGCCAAAACAAGATCATCAACATATACCAACAGACTAAGAGAAATACAACCACGATGAAGGGTAAACAAAGAGTAGTCAGCGGAAGATTGCACAAAACCATACTGCTTTAAAGCCTGGGCAAGCTTAGCAAACCAGCAACGAGGAGCCTGTTTAAGACCATACAGAGACCGACGAAGCCGACACACCTGACTAGAGGTGCCGGTGCGAAAACCAGGAGGAAATTTCATATAAACCTCATCATGTAGATCACCATGAAGAAAGGCGTTATGGACATCCATCTGGTGAAGCTCCCATTTTTTGGTGGCAGCAACAGCCAGGAAGGTACGAATAGTGACCATTTTGGCAACAGGCGCAAAGGTCTCCTAGTAGTCAATGCCTTCAACCTCATTATTACCAAGGATAGACAAGCCTTATAGCGCTCAACAGAACCGTCAGCATTATATTTGATCTTAAACACCTACTTACAACCAATGGCGCGCTTGCCAGGAGGAAGGGAAGTAACTTCCCAGGTACGATTTTTCTCCAAAGCACGTATCTCATCATGCATGGCAGAACGCCATTTGGCATCCTGCATGGCCTCATGAAAAGACCGAGGCTCAACGCCTGCAGTAATGGCAGCCAAGAAAGCGTGATGCTGGGGTGAAAAAGAATCACAGTTTACAAAATGTGTTATAGGATAAGGAGTACCTGAGGACTGAGGAGGGGAGTGAGCAGCGGAGGGAGAGGTAACATGGCGAGCGAAACCATGAAGACGAGTAGAAGAAATTTAGTACGATGGCCACGACCCAATAGTTCAGGAGACGCAAAAGAAGACTCGGGGGTGGAGGACAAGATGGGTGACCCCTCAGAGGAACGGGACGAGATAGGAGAAGCTGGAGGTGAAAGGGGAGGTGATGCAGGTAAAGAGGGAGAAACTAGGGGGCAACAAAAACCGGTTCGGAAGGAGGTAAATCATCGCCATCAAAAATAGGAGAGAAACTAGGAACCGGAGGAGAAAGAGAGTCTGATACAACAGAAGAAGAACTGGGAAAAGGAAATTCAGTCTCACAAAAAACAACATCCCGAGAAACAGAAAACTTACGTAATTCAAGATCATAAACCAACCAGGCCTTTATACCAAATGGATAACCCACAAAAACACACTTGCGACCACAGGGGGCGAATTTATCACCCCCGCGAGAAAGATTATGCATATAACAAATTCACCCAAAAACACGCAAGTGGTGAAGAGAAGGAGGTTTACCATACAGAATTTCAAAAGGAGTTTTCCCATTTAAAGCAGAAGAGGGAGTGTGATTGATTAAGTAGGCAGCAGTCAAGACACAATTACCCCAAAAAGGAATAGGAAGATTAGCTTGAAAAAGTAAGGCACGAGCGACATTAAGAATGTGTTGATTTTTACGTTCGACACGACCGTTTTGTTGAGGGGTACCAACACAGGAAGTTTCATGCAAAATTCCCTTTTGACGAAAATAGGAACCCAAACACAAGAACTCGGAACCATTATCACTACGAAAAATTTTGACAGATTTCCCAAATTGATTGCGAATCATGGCAAAAAACTCACATAACTTAGTAGGCACAGATTTCTTATCATCAAGAAGATATAACCAAGTAGCACGAGAAAAATCATCAACGATGGTCAAAAAATAACGAGCACCACTAAAAGCAGGAGTACAATAAGGTCCCCACAAATCACAATGAATTAAAGAGAAAAGTTCAACACTTTTAAAAGTACTAATGGGAAAAGATTCACGAGATTGTTTAGCTCGGAAACAAATGTCACAAGATTTATTCAAAACAGGACTACTAGAATCAAAAAGAGACAACTGCTTTAAAACCTTAACAGAAGGGTGCCCTAACCGCTAATGCCATAAAATCGGGGAAACAACATGAGAAGTCCGAGCAGGAGAGAAGCCACGAAAGAAGTAGAGACCCCCCAACTGTTCACCCGCGCCAATCAGAGTCCTCGATGTACGGTCCTGAACAACACAAAATTTATTAGTAAACTGTGCAACAGAATAAGAATCCTCTAATAAATGATATAGAGAAATCAAACTGCACTTTAAAGCCGGAATGGCTCAAATGAACAACACCCGACTGCGACGCATAAGTCATAGAACCATCAGGTAACTGAACTGGATGAGGAGAAATAGCCCTCAAATCCGTCAAGAAAGCCAAAAAACCTGTCATATGATGTGAAGCCCCACAATCAAACATCCATTCATGAGAATAAGGCTTACCAGAGAGTGTATTACTTGACTTGTGGTGAGTATCAAGCATGGAGATTAAAGTCTGCCATTGATCCGGAGAAAGACCAGTAACCGCACTATTATCCGAATCAGTCACCACAGAGCCAGCAAACTGTGAACCGGGTACAACAGTAGCGTTAGCGCGACCAACAGAGCTACCCGAACTAGTACCACGCCCACGACCGGTGGAACTACCACTACGACCAACCGAGCCACGGCCAGCCGAACCACTTGAATCCCGGCGAGAGTTAGGCCACTAATCGGGATATCCGATAAGATCAAAACAACTGGAAACGTCATGACCCGGTTTGGAGCAGTGAGTGCAAATTATCGACTTGGTTTTCGGCTCAATCGGTTTGGAGTTAGACCAAGACCGAGAAGTAGACCAGTTGGACGGCGGAGTGGGAAGCTGGGCAGACTGTGGAGCTTGAACCGTGAAACTCAGAGCATCGGCTGTAACTTCATCAGTCCCATTGGAGATGGACCGCAGCCGCTCTTCCTGGACAAGCAACGAATAGGCACGATTGACAGTGGGCAGCGGGTCTTGAGAGAGCAACCTCGACCGAAGCGTGCCATACAGGGAGGCATCCAGTCCCATGAATAATTGATACAGCTTCTTAGATTCCCGGCGCCGTTCCGATTCTGCAAGGACGGCGGGAGAACCACAAGAGCAGGATTGCAGTGGTTCGTAGTTGGCTACTCCTCCCACAGCAACTGAAGCCGACATGCTCAAACCCTTCTGCTTACAATTTGCGAGATTGGTCTTGAGCTGCTGAATCCGGGGACCATTCACAACGCTGAAGCGTTCACGCAGATCCGTCTAGAGAACCGAAGCAACTTCGCGATGAGGAACGGTGGAACGGACGGATGGCTCGATGGAATTATGCAGCCAGGAAACAATCAAAGATTGGTTTGTCCACCAATCTTCAAAATCGGGTGACGTCGCCGGCGGTTGAGGAAGCGTGCCATCAACGAAACCAAATTTTTACGTGCTCGCAAGGCAGTACGAACAACACAGCACCATTCATCATAATTATCAGTTTTCAACATAACCTGAGTGATGGGCGTTCCTGGATTGTCACAGGCAGTAAGGTCGTACAGAGTAATCGTATGACGTTTGGGAACATCGTGAGCCGGTGGCGGAGCAGCAGTACCAGCGGAAAGAAGGGTGGGAGATGGAGTACTGGATTCTTCAGCACTGTGCGCCATGAGGCAAAGACGGCGAGGTTTTTTTTTTTTGGTTTTTTTTTTTTTGGGCCGGCAAGCACAAGGCCGGAAAAGAAGAAGAAAAAAAAAACGAGCAGAAAACGCACAAGCCTACAGCAGTAAGCACAAGCCTACAGCAGAGAACGAACGGCCGGCAAGCACAAGCCTGACGGCGGCGGAGGACGGACGGCTGGCAGAGAACGGGATCCTACAGCAGCGATGCGGATGGTGTCACCTCGTCGTTGGGATCCTACAGCAGTCGCAGCGGCGGCCGAAGATTCCGTTGCAGGAAGAAAAACGGATGGCCGAGGAAGGAAGACAGGTGCAGCACACGCACGCAACAACGACAGCAAAGGATTCTGTTGCAGGAAGAAATACGGATGGTCAAGGAAGGAAGACAGTTGCAGCACACGCACACAACAACGACAGCAAAGCTATTGATCCTGATTGACAGCACACGCACAGTTGCGGCCACAAAGGGGTTTCGGCGGCAGAGAAAAAAAAAAATTTAAGGTGCGGCCATAAAAATCAAGCCTGATACCATGACACAAACTAAATGGCAAGCATAAAACATGATACTGCATTGATCGGTCCACAAAGGGACTATATATACACATCATTTACGGTTTACGGTGGAAACCCTAGTAATAGGTGGAAACCCTAGTACGTACAAAGGACAAAACTAACCCTATACAAATATATATACATATATCGTAACACATACCCATATATTTTGCCCCAGAGAATGTGTTGTTAATGTGAAGAATGGAACGAAGCAAACTCCCAAATCCAGAGTGGACATTTGACATATTCATTTGAATCGTGCATGCAATTAGGAATCAAAAAAGGTAAGAACACATGATCTATATATAATTGAAATTGAACTTAAAATCATTTTACACTTGTAATTTATGAATAATGCATGTAATTAGTTTAGCGTATTAAACAATGAAATTTCACTAATTAATCATTAGAGACCAGAATGATTCCCGCAAAAGTACCCCCTCTTATCTTAATTATAAGATGTAAATTAACATTAAAATTGATTTAATTTTTTATTTTTAATGATTAGGACCAGAGTGGTAAGTCATCATAGAGTTTTTTTCCTTTTTGAATTAAGGAAAGACGCTAAGCTACTAAGAAGTTTGGGAGTTAAATTACAACAACTAGCACAAAAGACAAACTTTGCCTTTAAGCACACAGAAGGACGAAATTGGATTTCCCAGAAACATGCAGTACTATTCCTTTTGCGTTAATCGGACCCAAACTGCAACTGAATTACATTCCGCTATGAATACAGTTAAATGGTTTTCCAAAAGCCATGGGCGGGTACATGTAAATTTGATATGAGATGAAATCGGTATTCGTTTACAATTATCACTGGTTCAAAATAATAATAATAATAAGGGAGCGGCTAGAGTCCCGTTACGGGACGGTTCTGTTTTAAGATAATAATCGTAGGATTAATTAAGTTAATTAACAACCGCAGGATTAAAATGAGGGTCCATCATAGGTAAATATACCTAAACGCACCTGATTAAACTGAAAAAATTAGAGAAATTGGTCAATTTTGCCCAAAGCTTCAAGTGTCTAGCCATTTGGGAAGCCAAATTTATTATCTAAGTTTCAATTTCTGGCCAATTTCATCCAATTGACAAAAATTTCGTTAGATTTAACACCTCTAATGGCATTCCGTTACGGATAAAATGACTGTTGTACCCAAAGTTTTAACCGCGTCGTTAATTTTACCCCTTGATTTTTGGTTAGCCAATTTTGTCCTTTACGTTTGAAATTTTTACCAATTTCATCCAATTGGCCCAGTTTCCGTTAAACTTAAGGGATTTTAGTTAATTTTTAACAAAAATATATCTCAATAGTATCAAAAAATTATAAAAATAACCCCAAAAATATGTAAAATTAACAAAATAATCTCTTTTCATTATTTATTTATTTATTTCTATTTCATTTTATTTCCCTTTACTCCTTTTATAACCATCAAAATATATTATAAGATCTTTAAAATAATAAGTATTTATTTTCAAACTCTATTTTTCATGTGCAAACATGTGAGTTTGGTTCAGAAGTAATTTTGTCATATTTTTTAAATTTTTAATTAATTTTTTTATTTTTTGTTATTTGTTATTCGTTTTCTTATACTTCCTGACTTGTATCTGTTGCTACTAGTATAACTACTAAATTTCATTAATTAATTTACCTTTTATTTTATAGATTATAAAAAAAATTAAAAAATAAAGAAAATGAGGAAGAAAAAATCGAGTTGAAATAGGTTATCATTCTAAACAAAAAAAAAAATCTAAAAAAAAAAAAAACAAAATTGCTAAGACAAGTCTTTCCTGCTTCACTTCTTGTAATTCATAGGTAAGTTACAAAATATAAATTTTACTCAATCTAGCGTAAAATGATTATTTTGTTTGTGATAGTAAAAATAATATAAAATTAGATAATCATTTGAAATAGGAAAAATGGCTAATTTATTTAGTCCACGACGATGAATTATTTTAAATTTGGTTAACACAATTTTTATTCTTTTTTAGTAATTGTTATTGTTACTTTGCCGATGGCTAAACTATATAACCAATCGTTGAATTTCATGACAAAGATAAATACGTATATCTTTTAACAGCATATTTTTAATTACTTTTTTAAACCACGAAATTGAAATACAAAAGGTAAATTTTTTTCTTGAAATATAGTAATTATACTAGTGCCAAAATATACAAGTCAGAGAGTATACGAAGAAAATTGTTAAAAAAAATAAAATAAAACAAATTAAAATTTTTTTAAAAATATAAAAAGACAAAATTACCTCTAAACCCAACTCAAATGTGTTGCACATGAAAAATAATTATTTTTTAAAGATCATATAGTATATTTTGATGGTTATGAAAAGTAGTAAATAGAAATAAAATGAAATAGATTAAAATGAATATAAGTGAAAAGGGGATATTTTGTTATTTTTACATTTTTTTAAGCAAGAAAAAGGATGAAAACGACGTTCAGGTTCCGAATAACTCAAAAAATATTTTGTAAGTTATCTTTATAATATTTTGAAACTATTGTGGTATTTTTGTTAAAACCTAATGGAGATCCGTTAAGTTTAACAGAAGTTTGACCAATTGGATGAAGTTGACAAAAATTTTAATATAAAGGACAAAATTAGCTAATCAAAAATCAATAGAGCAAAATTGACGGCGGGATCAAAATGGTGTAACTTCTATTTTTTCCTTTTCCGTTACTTTGTACGATTTTTTAGAAAGAAGAAGGGAAAAAAAAAAGAAAAATTAAGTAAAATATTTTGTAATTTTTGTGGATTGAAGAAAAGTGGCGGCGACAGAAATGCGGGTAGTGATGGAGGGAGGATTATGTACTGTTGGTGGAGGCAAATTTTTATGTTTGTGGTGATAGTTTGAAATTCTCACAGATTTAGGAAGTGGTGATGGTAATTTTTAGGAGAGAAGGGGCGGTTGTGGTGCGGCAGCAAAAAATAAGTAAAAGAGGAAGAAAAGAAAAAGGCTTAGGGTGGGAGCAATGAATTAGATTAGGAGATAAATTATGTGGTGGGGACGTTATAATAATTAAATGGTAAGATAATCGTATGTTACTGAATAATAAAATATTAGGGATAAATAACGGAATGTCAATGGAAATATTAAATCTAACAGAATTTTCATCAATTTGGATTAAATTGGCAATAAATTGAAATTTAGATGTGGTGGTGACGTTATAATAATTAAATGGTAAGATAAGTGTATGTTACTGAATAACAAAATATTAGGATAAAATAACGGAATGTCAGTGCAAATATTAAATCTAACAGAATTTTCATCAATTTGGATTAAATTGGCAATAAATTAAAATTTAGATGATGAATTTGGTTTCCTAAAAATATTTTGGTCAAAAGTGATCATTTTCTCAATTAGTTTATGATATTATAGAATGTTATTCACCACATGGTTAAATCTTATACCATCAATTTTGATTGGTTGAACACAAAACGGGACGGTTCCGTAAAAATGGCCAACGGCACTTTAGATTTTGCCTAATAATAATAATAATTGCCGGTTCAACAACATGATTGTTACAATGTAAAAGCACAAATTAAGAGTAATTTATTTAATTAATGGAAAGCAGCCAAATAAATTTGTCAAGCATTATTCTGAAACTTTTCAAAGAGAGCTAATATATCTAACCTTGGTTACCGTTGACAAATATAAGAGACTCATTAATTATTTTATTGAATAATTATTATTATTTTGGTTATAATCCAACAAATTTGCTCTCATCTCCGCAATCTAAATTCCAAATCACGGATACATAAACAATCAGACTAATCTTAATTCGATCATAAATCATAACACGACTTCTGTTATGAAGGACACAAAATCATTGTTATGCGTGAGAAGCCGACGCTCCTACATCTCCGTTGCTCAAAGCTGGATCATTGTCTCTTTCAAGGCCCCATCTTCTAGTCCCTACGGTAAACTGAGCAGCGGCTGCCAGAAACCGCACGACTTGAAGAGGGCTCAGAATCTCCAGCAGTTTCGAAACAGTTGTCCCTCTAAGAACATCAGCCATCTCCAGAACCGAAATCACTCGCTCTTTAAACATCCTCATGGCTTCCTCCAGCTGGGAAACTTCACCACCCACCAACCCGCCGAATCGGGTTATCAACCCGTATGTTGGCATGGCCGCCATGCTTTCTTGAACACTCGCCATCACCTTTTCAATCTCTTTCTCTTCTCTCTTTGTATCAGCCCACATCCCCTCAATAATCTCCAATTGGGAACTTGATAGGGTTTCCCTCAATGCCCGCTTGGCTAAGTTCAAACTCATTGATGGTTTGAACCCGCTGAACCAGAGCAAGATTTTTTCGTATGGACTCAACCATGGTGGAGATATCATCAGGAACGGATTCTCATTAATGGCCTTGGATTTCTCGTCGTGAAATTCTTTGTAGTGACATAAAACTTGGTTGACCAGATCACTGTGATGATATTCTGCATTTGAGCTATCTGAGGAAGATGTTAAAAGTTGTTGAAGAAGTTCTTTTAGTTTGGCTAGCCAACTTTCATAAAAGATAGTGAAGGCTTCAGCCATATCTGATCTGAATCTTTGTTGGTGATGATGATGATGATTTTTTCTAGTCCACTTTTATTTGGACCCAGAATGGCACTAAATCTCGTAGCCATATTTATAATGGGAATTTTAATTTCTTCATCGGGTTGATTTCCAGTTTCAGCGGTGAGTGAACTGCTTTTAAGTTTTAAATCGTGGGACCATGGCAGTGACGGAATCAGGGGAGACAGCAAGGTGTTACCGTGATACTCTCTCCGTCCCGAAATTATTGTTCATTTTGATTTTTCAGTGATTTTTTTTTCTTTTTTTGCCATGTTTAGTGAAGATATGCTAAATTTTTCATTAAGGTAAAAAAACATATATATATATATATATCGTTTAGTTTCATGCTTGTTTCAAGAATATTGCAATATTTATATTTTTAAATTAATCTCACATTCCGTTGTGAATGTTTTGGCGCTTTCGAGATTAGGTACATTTTTTTGTGGGACGGATTCAAACAGGATAACTCTTTATCATGTGAAGATCGGATATATTATTCTTTATATTTTAAAATTATTATTCAGTTTAAATTTTAACTTTAGTTCAATTTGTATCAAAACTGAAAATTGAAACAAGGCACTTGCAAGTGCAGGATGGAGGGGAACTAAAAAGAAATTTCTTAAAGGGGAAGTTAACCCTGGATATATTACAACAAGAGATGGCCGCAAATTTCTGGGAAATCGAGACCTGAGATGCGGAGATACGTCTTTAATTTCGTCATCGGGTGGCCGCATTCTATTTTATTTTTTCTTTTAAAAATTTTGTTTAACTCTCTTGCCTTTTTCTTCGGTGATATACATATATATATATATATATATATATATTTTGGTTTTTCTAAGCCTAAAAGAATGGCGGTGCCAACGGATAATGAGGATTGGATTGCCATAGTTTTTATTCTATCTTCAAATATTTTTGGATTGTCCCAATAAACATTGAATTCTCAAACTTATGGTGACAAAAATCTCCATCCATCCAACCATCTCATCCTTAAATATACTACTTCAATTGCACTAAGCAAGTTCATTTAATATTTTTATTTTCCATCCAAGAACCTTACCCATCTATCAACATTTCTTTTTTCTTTCTTTCTTTTCTTTCTTTCTTTCCTTTTTAGTTGTTTGCAAACATCTTTTGGACTCAAAACTCCTTGCGAAATGGGGTGCTCACCTAGCTATCGACCATTTAACTCAACACAAGTATCGGTGCATGTGTTTAATTACTGTTTCGTTAAAATGATCTTGTTAAACTTGCTTCTTGCTTTAAAATATATACCATTTGAAATTTCATTTATGGGCTCTTCTTATCGATCTTGAGACAAAATTGGGCGAGGTTAAATTGTTCTCAAACTTGTTTGTTTAAGGAAAAAAAAAAAGAAGAAGAAGAAGAAGAAGAAGAAGAAGAAGAAACTGAATCAAAAGTTTTTTTTTTTTTTCAAGCACGAAACTTTAGACACAAATCATACTCAAATTAAATCCGGTTAATCGTCTTCTGATCGGCAATTCTCTATTCTTGTTCTTAATTCTCTCCTTTTCAATTTTATGGCTTTCTTTCTTCGGCGGATGAAAATTGTTGACTTTCTTTTCACGTAAAGTCGTGGACGCAAGAAATACGATCCTTTTGCTAAGGCGGTTCCACCTTTTGGGCCATTAAAAAGTCCGAAATGATACCCTTGGAAAATAGAGAGAGCTCTGCTTCGGATTAAAGGAAAGATACAAGAGGTCAAATTTTGGATCTCCGGAGAATATCCTCTTAGTTGAGAAGTGCTTGTTTCAAGTGATAAACGTACTGAATCAACTGAATTATGATCGAAGTTTCATCTTTCGATGTTGAATTTGTATCATTCCAAACAGTAATTTCAGGCATTAAACACTTCGGCTATTTTTATTTTTTTTTAAGTGTAACGAAGTATATATATTACTCAAATGGACAAAATATAGTGACTAGCCTTCTTTCTGATTGACTTGAGTTCTGAAATTATAAATGATGATTAATTTATACTTGCACGGAATTTTATTTATTTTTTTTAATTTATGATATTGCCTTCATCACACAGCTAGTTATTAAAATAAAGTTACGTTGTCAGTTGGCTTTCATTTCGTCATAATAATTGATTCAAACTCGCAGTGGATCTTTTGCCTGATATAAAATAAAATTAGTACAATTGGAAAAAATAGGAATCCCAACACATTAGATTATAATATTATCGGGGTAGAACACACAGAAAATATTTACTGGACTATTTTTATTGAGTAATAATTGTTGCATGGAAAATTTGAAATAATGAATGAACCATAACTGATTTATTCATTTAAGGGTTAAAAGATAACTAATATTAAGCCACATTATTACCTGCTAAAATTCCCAATATATATCACTATTTTCTTTTAACCCTTCCATCGCACCAGTAGCTTCTATTGTTATGGTTCTCACATTTTTAACTCCTTAAGAAAATTTAAGAGCAATGAAAGGCAATTCTTATCGTGAAAATGGCTTATTTATCCTAAGATAAGTGATGGGCTTTGGAATTTGGATGTCAATCCTAGAGAGACTAATGTCCTAAGAGTACTAGCAGATGTTCTAATTAAGTTAAGATTCTTGATTCCTTTGGAAACCTGATTTTTTTTTTTTTTAAATCTATTTTCGCCGAAACTAGAACCTCTAATCTGCTAGGATAAGTTAGATTTCACTCAAAGATGACTTTTCTGCTGAAACGTTTTTGGCATCATTGGATAAGACTATACAAAAAGATTGTTGATCAATTGGAATTATCATCCATCCTGTTATCTTGTTTAAGTGTAGATTACACATGCTATTACTGTTCATTTTTTTCTTAATAATACCCCGTTCACTCTTCTGTTTTACACACAGTTCATGTCAAAGGTGTGTTATTAGGCCGATTATTTTTGCAAAATGTGTGTTAGTGATAATTATCAAACATGTAAATATTAATGTGTTATAAAGTACGGTAAGTCGGTCTAATACACTTGAAAAATAACAACTTCAGATATTATTATATATACAGAAAAGGACAGGAATGAGAGGCCCCCAAAAAAAAAAAAAAACAAAACAAAAGGTGATGGCGGATTTTTAAATTATTAACTTATTTATGTGTTTTTGCCCATTTCTTTAGGAAAAAAGATAGGAATTTCTATACAGTGACGGAGCTGTTCTTCGGCACGCAAACCTATGCTTTCATACGTATTTCAAACCACTCTCACCCGCCGGCGCTTGCTAAACAAACTAGCAATCTTTTATACTTTTAAACGCCGGGGACTCCCATATAAACGGGAAAAAAAAAAAAAAAAAACCCCATACCATTCTAGACAAGTACGGATGACAGAAGTTCAAGTAAATCAGATTAAGAATTAAACCCAAGACTTTTTCTACCGAACAATGATAGTTTGTTTCTAGGGAAAATTTGAATTATGGACAGTTCATAGTAAATAATTAATAAAGAAGGTAGTAAATAATTTGTATTAGATGCATAATAATTCAATAATACAAACATGACTCTAACAATTGAAATAAATTGTTTTTTCATTGGATCTTTTTAACACATAAATTAAAATTTATTTCCAATGTTTTTAAATGATAATATTTCCAATGGAAAAATTATTAAATTACATGAGGAAATAATATAAATGGGTTGACTTTGAAAATAAAGATTAATATTTCCTAATTTTTAATCGGAGATTTTTTTTTCCCGTATATTTTTAATTTTTATAAGTAAACCATTTTTCCCCTTCACATGAACTGAATCAAAATTATATAAATTATTTTTCCAAAATCTTGTACTTGAATAAGCCGTACAAGCCATTTTACAGAGTTGAATTAATTAGATTTATTTTGCATCAATGAAAATATTAAATTTAATAATATCTAAACTTTTGTTTACGTAAGAATTTTTTGTGAATAACCACTTTCATATTGTTATATTAATTAGGCTTACATAAAAAAATAAATTAAATAAACTTTCAACATATTCCTTTTTACCCTTTTAAAGCAGAATACATGATGTTGATGTGGCAACTTCTTATTAAAAATTTTTGGCTCCAAATGCACCATATTGCATTAACCATTCTGCCACGTGTTATCCATTTTTAAAAGAAAAAAAAATTCTTATCCGGAGAAAGAAAAACTACTTTACAAAAATAGCTACACAATTTTAACTCCTAACATTTATCATTTATCAATCAAATTAAAATAGCATTTAAATTTGCCCATAAACTTATCCCCTTTATTACTCCACATTCTTTTGTATGATTTCATCATCGTTGTACTTTTCAATATCTTCTTCTCCTTTGGCAGATGATTTTTTTATTTTTATTTTTATTTTTGGCTATGAAGGGGAAAAAACCAAATATGTAGCTATTTTATTTTTTCCAAATCAAGAATTCATTTATCTATTAACACAAAATTAAAGTAGAGGGGTGCCCGGGCATCTGCCCGAGCCAAGCATCTAGTTTAAATTGATACAAATAGTTTTCTTTTTTAAACAAAGATAAAATTATGTTTGTATGGTTGAATGGTTATGTCCCTATTACAAATTATTAGAAAATATTACCTCTTTATTAATTATTTACCCTCTACTACCCCTCATCCAAATTTTCCCTTGTTTCTATATATTTTCTCACATTTTCTTTTAAATTTGTAGGGCTAGCAGTTTTATTTTTGTTCTCATTTCAAATTTAAAATATAATTTAGAAGGTATTTTGGATAAAAATTTGAAATCTTGTATGTATAACTTTTTTAAAATAAAATAATATTTTTATGACTTCTATCGAACTATCAACAACCATCACCAGAACACTTATCCTCTCTAATTTGAATTTAAGAGGTAAAACAAAAATTTGAGAAGCAAAATTGTGTTGGTCATATGGACTTATTCGTTTTGGTTGTGAGATAATTCTTGTCAGTTTAAAAAGACATTGTTATCATTTTACTCCATTAACAGTCACTATTTTATTAATGGAGGGTTAAATTGTTCATTTGAATGAAATTTAGGAAAATATTAGTATTTTTAAAAAACATAAAAGGGATATTAGTGTTTGGTACATAATTCAGAGTAGTCATTTGTCCTTATCCCTTTTAAAATTGTTTGGACCTAAAACCAGTATGTGAACAAGAATAGACCATAAGCATGAAGGAAAAATCCCAATAAATCAAAAGAGAAACTACAAAAGAGGAAAGACTTCAAAATTGTTCACAAAGCGCGTTTGGCAGTTTAAACTAATTGCATTATCGGTAAGCTCCGCCCAACATAATTCCCAGCTGTCGAGATCAACAACACTTATCCAAAATGGGTTAGAAAATGAAAAAAAAAAAAAGGAAAGAAAATCCATCTACGACTTCTAGATGAAATAATTAAATTAAACTAACAATCATAAAATGTAATACTCCCTCTGCTCCTTAATATAAGATAATTTTAATTTGTCATAAATTTCATCTATTACGCATTTTTAATTGATTAAAAAATCTTAAAAGCATTTCGTAACAATCAAGAGAACACAACGAATGTGAAATTATATTTTTAAAATTTTTTATCAATTAAAAATGCATATCAGGTGAAACTTAGAACAAATCTAAATATCGTATATTAATGATCGGAGGAAATAGAAAATTATAAAACTTTATTTTAAAAAAACTACTACTACTATTGTTTTTAAAACTTTATGGTTTTAACCGTTTTCCTTACGTTTGGTCGAAATTTGTAAATTGTACACCTATTTTTACTTTTTTTTTAAAAAAAAAAACTCTTAAAATACTTTTTCCTTATCCTTCTTCATCAATCCCAATAAGGATAGTGTTAGTGTATAAATATCCAATAATCGATCATTTCTTTACAAATACTCAATTGAGTCGGTGTAAATCTGTGCAATTTGGGAGACCCTTTTTCGTTTGTTCTTATAATTTTTTTGCGAAAGAAATCAGAAAACAGAGGAAGATGGAAAGAGCAATTGAAAGGCAAAGAGTTGTTCTTCAGCACCTCAAGCCCTCACTCACTTCTTCTTCCCTTGAGAATATCGATTCCGCAATTTCTGTAAGTTACCTGACTTTCGATTTCGTTTTTTTTTTCCCCAGCTGATTCGAGAATCCCGGAATTCGTTGTGTTTGGTTTCTTCTTGGGTTAGGGATTAAATCATCGTTTTTAATAGATATTTTCCTTTTTTCTGATTTTGAGCTGAAATTACATGGTGGATTGAATGATTGAATGATGAGATGTGTTCGTATTTGGTGATCGGAGTGTTGGTTTAGATGTGGAAATATTGGTTGGAAGATTGCTTACTGTGCGTGATGCTTCAATAAAGTTTTTGATTCTTGAAAAAGTGTATCTCTGGTAAATCAATTTCTGGTTATTGATCGTCCACGACGATACTATCAACGGTTTGGAGTAATAAAATCAAAGATTTAAAATCTACTTTCATGTTTCCTTTTTAGTGTTAGGTGGCGGAATGCTAAAGATTTTCCGGATAGTTGGGCGCTTAGAAATGGCAATTAAAAGTTATCACGTGTGTGGGCTTGGTTCCTTTTCCCATTTTTAGTTATCTCTTCAATAAGTACTGTTCTTGTCCTGGATTCCATCTTAAATTTTAACTGTTTTAGTAGGATTGGTTAGGATTGGCCTTTGAGGGAGATTTCAATGATATGTGTGACTGAGTTGACAAGTCCTTTTCCCTCTCTGTCCATGGTTATGTGGGGATCTAAATCTTTCATGTGATGGGTGAGGCAGTATATAAGTATATGTAAAACTATGATTTAATCAGCATATGAAGATGTTTAGATTTAAATGTGATGCAGTGTAGTGATTAACCTTTTCCAATCAGGCTTCCGTTTGTGCCGCGGGTGATAGTGCTGCATATCACAGGTCATCGGTTTACGGGGATGATGTGGTCATAGTAGCGTAAGTTATGGAATCTTTGTTCAAACTTTTGACCAATGATTGCTATGTTTTTATCTTATGACCCTTCCATTCGCAGTGCATACCGAACTGCACTCTGCAAATCCAAAAGGGGGGGCTTTAAAGACACATATCCTGATGATCTACTTGCACCAGTTTTGAGGGTATGTTTTGCTGTGTCCAGTATCTCCTTCAGATCGATATTGCTATCAAAAATATCCACTATGTTTTAACACTTTTTTCCTATTTGTAGGCTGTGGTGGAAAAAACAAAATTGAACCCAAGTGAGGTGGGAGACATTGTTGTGGGAACAGTCCTGGCACCTGGTTCTCAAAGAGCCAGTGAATGTAGGATGGCTGCATTTTATGCTGGTTTTCCTGGTATGTCCTAAATCTTAAAGATATCGATATGCATTTGCTATAATCTACTGTGATATAAACTACTGTATGTTGCCAAGTCCATTTTGACTGGGTTACTTTTCTTTGTTTTAGAAACTGTGCCTGTTAGAACAGTGAACAGGCAATGTTCATCTGGCCTTCAAGCAGTAGCTGATGTTGCTGCAGCAATCAAAGCTGGTTTTTATGACATTGGTAAGAAGACATGGTTGGAATATTTTTGTTGCATTGCCATTTTGCTTGATCAGCCTAACTAAGGATCTCATCCCCAATTTAGGAATTGGTGCTGGATTGGAGTCGATGACCACAAACCCAATGGCCTGGGATGGCTCAATCAATCCAAGAGTATGTTTCTTCTGTGTACATCATCGTCTCCATCTTTTTGGTAATGTGAATGTTGTATAACCAACTGAGAGCTTTGTTACTTCAGGTGAAAACAATGGCAGAAGCGCAGAATTGCCTTCTCCCAATGGGTGTTACTTCAGAAAATGTCGCACATCGTTTTAATGTGACAAGACAAGAGCAAGATCAAGCTGCGGTAATTTTCCTTTGTGTGTATATTTCATCTACTTCCATAGTTTCAAGTTTCCTAAGTTGCTATACTTGTTTTAAATTTATGTAGGTTGAGTCACACAGGAAGGCTGCAGCTGCCACTGCTGCTGGAAAATTTATTGATGAAATAGTACCCATTAAAACAAAGGTGGGTATTGTTGAAGACTACCTATGTGGAAAACATATTGTATGTGTCCATTTTGCATGTCCATTTTTCTTGTGCTAATTTGACATTTGTTTTGAATGTGTTTGTGTAGATTGTTGACCCAAAAACTGGAGATGAGAAACCTGTCACAATCTCAGTAGATGATGGTATCCGGCCTAGCACAACAGTGGCGGACCTTGGTAAACTGAAGCCTGTGTTTAAAAAAGATGGTACCACCACTGCAGGTAGTTTGGCGTCTATATATTGGATATGTTCAAATTACTTGAGTTTCCCGTGCTAACCCTTTTCTTACGTCATGTTCAGGTAATTCTAGCCAAGTGAGTGATGGGGCTGGAGCTGTCCTCCTCATGAAGAGAAGTGTTGCCATGCAGAAAGGGCTTCCAATTCTTGGTGTTTTTAGGTATATGGCTTTCAACACTGAAAGTACTGACATTGCGCCATCATTTTTTTTGTTTGTTTTTTTTTGGTGGGGGGGGAGGTTGTTTTCAACTTCTATTGTTTTTCATGGCGACCTAGCGGCGGCTAGTTCTTCCCTTTTCTTAATGTTCAAGGCTAACTGATGTTTCAAACATGCTTCGTCGTTTTATGCTTTATTTACCAATTATCACGGATACTTACATTGATCAGATGGTTATGACACACAAATTTAAACAATTAGCATGGAGGGGTCTGTGTTGATAAGCTATAATTGAGCTTGGTGTTTCTTCTGGATCTGGACCACCTTAACGTGGGACATTCAGAACAGGGCTTTGTGAATTTTACATCTTAACTTTCCGTTTGTAGGACTTTTGCTGCTGTGGGTGTAGATCCTGCAATAATGGGGGTTGGTCCCGCTGTTGCAATTCCTGCAGCTGTTAACTCTGCTGGACTTCAACTTGAGGACATTGATCTTTTTGAGATCAACGAGGTGATGCATATTTCTTAACAACTTCGACTTACAATTTTGTTTTCACTTTTCTCCATTACTTCTCAGTTGTTTGGATTGGCTAACTTTTGTAGCACTGGATTCTTTATTGAGTACAGGCTTTTGCATCGCAGTTTGTATACTGCCGCAAGAAGCTTGGACTTGATCCAGAAAAGATTAATGTAAATGGAGGTGCAATGGCCATTGGACATCCTTTGGGTGCAACAGGTAGTGAGATAACAATTGATATTTATAAGATTTTATATTCACTTCTACTTGCTTTCCACCGACCAGTATGGCACCCAAATTTGTACTAAGATGGTTTTTGGAATTTGTATAGGAGCTCGTTGTGTTGCCACGTTGTTGCATGAAATGAAGCGTCGTGGAAAGGATTGTCGCTTTGGGGTAGTATCCATGTGTATAGGTATATTCTCGACCAGTCATACCTCATGGATGTGCATTGCATACTTCTGACTTAATTTTAACTAGATGCTTGGCCCAGGCAGATGCCCAGGCGCCTCTCTACTTTAAATTTGTGTTAATAGATAAATAAATTCTTGATTTGGAAAAAATAAAATAACTACACATTTGGTTTTTTTTCTTTTTTTAGTCAAAAATAAAAATAAAAATAAAAAATCATCTGTCAAAGCAAAAAAATATTAAAAAGTACAACGATGTAGAAATCATACAAATGAATGTGGAGTAATAAAGGGGATAAGTTTATAGACAAATTTAAATGCTATTTTAATTTGATTGATAAATGATAAATGTTAGGACTTAAAATTGTGTAGTTATTTTTGTAAAGTAACTTTATTTCTCGGGATAAGATTTTTTTTTTCTTTTAAAAAGAGGATGACACGTGGCAGAATGATCAATGTAATATGGTGCATTTGGAGCCAAAAAGTTTTAATAAGAAGTTGGCACATCAACATTCTGTATTCTGCTTTAATAGGGTAAAAGGGATGTTCTACTATATTGGCTTACATATGGGAATCTTATGGCAATTGCAGGCACGGGAATGGGGGCTGCTGCTGTTTTTGAAAGAGGCGATTCCTGTGATGAGCTATGCAATGCCCGGAAAATAGAAACCAACAATCAATTGTCCAAGGATGCTCTATAAACTGCAGTGCAGCATTTCTTGTTATAAAGGCTTAATAAGAATACAGAGGTGTTCATGTTCCAATAAAACATAAGTTTGAGATTTTATTTTTACTTGTGAGAATCATTACAGTTCAAAATTTGGTCTGTATACCAGTTGGCCTGCAGAATATTCAAAACTGTTGATTGATCTTACTTCTGCAGCTATTAGTAGCATACAATCTGTTCGTAAGTCGGATATTATCCGGGGCCATAGTAGTTTTCGTGTTTCTGTTCGGAGCATTTCAGAATATTGCTGCAAAAATATAGAGGCAACTAGGAATACTTAACGGTGAAAGCTAAAGGCATATTAGAGCTATATTAGGGGATTAATTTATAAGGCAGGGTGATTCTTTTCACCGTACTTTGTCTCGTTTAATCTGTTCTGGAGCTTTTTTCTAACTTCATTAAGTTTGAGTGGTACGAAATAAGCGAACAAGGTGAAAATCACTGGCCTGTTTTTTCTCTGATGTGTAAAACTTGATGTGGAAGTGTCTCCGATGATGCCATAATGAGAAAAGTTTTGGCCTGCTGCTTCTTGGGGAGAGCAAAAAAGGAGATGCAGCAGCAGTTGGGCTCATGGAAGAAAGTTGCAATGGTTCTGAGTGAGATTGTAAAATTGGAGAGACCACGGGTTAATCCGACTTGGACCAGCGAGTAGAAAGGTGGTGGTTCCAAAAATTGGGTTAATTTCCTTCAGTTAGGGCTTCCTTTTCTACGTGTTTGGAATGGATTCACTGGATTTTCTTTAAATTGGATTAATCCGATTTTGTACGTTTGATTTTGAACCAAACACATTAGGTTACTTAACTCTGGTTTCTCCATTTTGCTGATATCAATTTATACAACTTAGTTGGAGGAAGAACTCAGAGAGACCGGTTGATTTTTCCACAACGTCCGGCACCCTTTGAATAATGTTCTTTTAACCTCCCTTTCCCTTGATCCATTCCAGTATTCTACCGATCCCACAATCAAGTTTTAGCCTTTTAGGTACTTGTTTGTTCCATAGAGTAGTTATAATTAATGGTTCTGTTACACTTCCGTCTCATAAATCCTCATTGAGACCATTGCAATCACCTTGGAAATGCCAAAAACATCAAGGAGAGAGCAGGGATCACCGATGCAGTTAGCGCATACGAGGCTTTCTCTGTTAAATGAATGAAAGAACCATAATGGCCTCATGTTCCCTTGTGCTATATGGAAAGTTAAAAATTTTTGAAACTAAGATATATACTCCATGTGTTACTCTTTTATAGGTTTTGAGGTGGAAACATTTATAGGTTTATATTTAGACCTTCAAGAATCATAACCTCTATAATCGAGTGCAACGGCCCGTGATACAACAACACAGCTTTTGGCCTTTCTTCATCTCCTCCAATCTCATCAACACGAAGCTTCAGCTGTTGACTTCGATCCACGTGCTTGTGCTCAATCAGATCCATTTTGCAAAACTAAAAATACCTGAAAATTTTAGAAAGTAAGAGAGAGGTATTGCATGTGGGATATAAATTACTATCTCTGTCCTATAAAAATGGTCTACATAGAATTTTCAAATTTGTACTAATGTGGACTATTTTTTAGACACGGAGATAGTAGTATTTATGTTCTATAGATAATCAATATTCTATGAAATAGTACATGAAAGGCGCTACCTTTTCATCTAAGACTCAAACATACCTCAATAGCGGATTTTACTTCAAGGTATTCATTAAAGCTGCTGCTTCATCTGTGGACTGTGGTTAACAACTTCGAAGAGATCTCTTTGACAAGAATTTTGATATCGGATTTTCATTTCGAATGATCCATAATGTCACGCAAGGGTCAATTGGGCAGACACATTCGCACTTATAAATTGCTTATGTCATCGGAGTTTTTCAGTTAATTAAAATAATAAATTAGAATAAATTGATGATTATAAATTTATTGTTAGGAATAGATATAAATTTAAACTAAATACCGGAGGAAGTACTGTAGTTGTTAAGGTGGTGAACACCATGTTATCTGAAAATACTATAGTATAGATATAGAAAAACACAAAAACATAAAATTCAGAAAAACGAAAAAAAAGGGATGGATTTTTAAAGCCACACCCTTTAGTACTCAAAGCCACGTCAAAAAAAATTAGACGATTTTGCCCCTGTCATTTAATACAGTAGAGAGAGAAAGAAAATGAGCAATACAGAGGTAAAAAAAAAAACTTAAAAAAAAAACCGAATCGGGCAAGAAAACCGTTCCGGTTGAACCGGGGACGCGTGTGTTGTGCGTCCGGCCATTGAACCCGGTCCAACCGGACGGACCGGTTCCGTGAACAGTTTTTTTTTATAATTTTTTTTATTTTTTTAATTTTAATTTCATGCATGTTATGTTAATTTATTTGTTAATTTAATTAGTTATGTTAAGTAATTTAATTAGTTAAATTATATTTATTTAGGCTTTGTGATTGCATGTTATGTTAATTTAATTAAGTAGGAATATTATTATTTTATTTGTTAATTTAATTAGTTATGTTAAGTAATTTAATTAGTTGAATTTTGTTTATTTATTGCATGTTATGTTAATTTAATTAAGTAGGAATTTTATTATTTTATTTGTTAATTTAATTAGTTTAGTTAAGTAATTTAATTAGTTGAATTTTATTTATTTATTGCATGTTATGTTAATTTAATTAAGTAGGAATATTATTATTTTTATTTGTTAATTTAATTAGTTATGTTAAGTAATTTAATTAGTTGAATATTATTTATTTATTTAGGTTTAATTAATTAGAGATAATATTTATTTAGGGAGAAAAATAAATAATTAAAGAATTTTGTGGAATAAGTATTTAATTAAGTATTGGAAATGCAATTAATTAAATATTTAATTAATCGCTAAATTAATGAATTCTAGCTATTTAGGTAGGTATTGGAAAATTTAATTTAGTAAATAATTTTGGATTTGTTGAGTTTTTGTATTTTTTATAATTAATCTTTTTACTGTAAATATATGTTTTTTATTATTTATTATAATTGTATATCTTTTTTAAATGATTGGAATGGGTGTTTAATTTAATTTATTATAATGCAGTTTTTTATTGTGGTAATTTTATGTTTAATTTGCAGGATTCTTTCGAAGATTTTGGTGGCGATGGTGAAGATTATAGTATATTGTTTGCTATAGATGAGGAATTTTCTGAAAAGGATGATGCTGTTGCTTAGGTGAAAGGCATGGGCATGGCAAATGGTATGATAATAAACGTAGTCTCTAGCAAGAGGAAGAATGCTGTTCTGATGAGATACTGTAAAGGGGGAAAGGTGTCAGTTAATGATGGTGAATACTTTGTCACATCAGATTCGAAGACAAAAATCACTGGGTGTAAATTTAAGTTATATGTGCACTTAGTTGATGGGAAGTGGCGCATTCGGGTGTATCCTGGTGAGTTTGAAATGCATAACCACGAGCTGTTTGACGAAGATCATCCCACGAGGGGCCTTAGCGATGGAGTGAAACAGCTTATACAGGGTATATCCAAAGATGGGTGCAGACCGTGTCAGATCATGGCTGCGATTGAGAGGATATTTCCTGATGAAAAAGTTAACAGACGGCAAGTCTACAATTTCAGGAAGAAATTGCGTAATGAGGGGTTCCCGGTCTTGGGTGACTCGAGTACCATGGATGTCGCGACGACGACACTATCGGTGGCCAAGCATCATCGTTACATCATCATGACAGATTGCAATCAGGAGACAGGTGTGCTGATTCGTGTTTTTTTTGCACATCCTGATGCTGTCAATTTGTTTTGCACTTATTTCTGGGTCGTCAGGATAGACTCAACATACAAGACGAACAAGTACAAAATGCCGTTGGTTGAGTTTATTGGAATGACACCGTGCAACCAGAACTTCTTGATTGCATACGCCCTCTTGAGTGACGAGACTGGTGACAGTTATTATTGGGCTTTGAGACAGTTTAGGGATTTGCTTCCTAGTCATCTGTCTCCAGCTGTTATTGTTACTGATCGGGAACCGGGGTTGATGCCGCCGCTGGGTATGGTATTTCCAGATTCATGCCACTTGTTGTGTGTTTGATATGTTTATGAGAATGTAAAGCGACATCTCAACAAGGAATTGAAATTTGAGGCCAAGATTGCAAATGGTTTTGCATATGGGTTGTGGAAAGACGTTGTGGATGAGTACAATAAAGCTGTTGCCGTAATAAACCGTCGTTGGCAGAATTTTCGAGAGTTATTAATTATATCCAGAAGACATGGCTAGTGGTTGATTACAAATTCGTCAAGACATAGACGAATGTTGTGTTTCATATGGGCAACACTACTACAGGTAGGGTGGAGAGCGCGCACAAGCAGTTAAAAAACTTAGCTGGAAATATCCACGGCGTCGCTGGATACACTTTGGGCTAAGGTGCACTTGGAAATTCAGAGTCAGCTAACTGAAATACGGTAAGTTCTATTCTAATATATATTATATTTATTATAATATATTTAGTATTTTTTTTGTTTTTTGGGCATTTTACATAGAATGTTTTACAGTAAGTGGCTACATTCAGGTACAAACTGGAGTACTCGAGACAAAAAATTGGCACCCATTATTGCGGTTTTCCACTGAAGTGCTTGAAGTGTCAAGTTTCACATACATGTTTGCAAAAACTGAACACTGAGTGGTTGAAGGCGCAAGAGTGGAAAGAAGAAACGAATGACAGATGTGATCATGTGGTGTACTGGACTTGTCAAATTCCATGTGCGTGCGCCCTCAAAAAGACTGCAGGTGCCGGCACATCGATAACTCTTAAGCATATTCACCCATTCTGGGCGACCCTTAATATCGGTGAACAGGCTGGTACAAGTGCTCCTAGCGATATGGATGACGATGTCCTTTATACCAGACAGTTGATGGAAGAGCTGAACGAGTGTCCTAAGGCAGTACGACGCACGGTAAATAGGGCTCTCCACGATATGCATCCAGACCAGTGTGGGTTCAAAGAACCCGAGGAGGTCAAGAGAAGGAAGGGGCGGCCTAAGGGGGCTAAATCAAAGAAAAAAGCAGAGGCCAACACTTTTGCCCATGAACAACGTCAAGGCCAACAATCCCCACAGAAAAAAGTAACACATAATGTGTGGGATTACAGGGACGAGACTCAAGAAAAGTCGACCACAGGTACCAGCGATTCAAGTAAGAAGGCGCCCCTCGTCTTCAGGTGGTCGTACAAATGCATCCACAGGTATATGTTAAGAAGTAATTGTTGCATCCATAATTTATTTATTAACAATTGTTCCAAATAACATTTGTTCCATGTAATGTACAGATATTTTTGCGAGTGATATTTCACAGTATGGTTGCTACGACCTCATTCCATGGCCCATTCGGCCATATATTACCAGTTACCTTGATGTTGGTGCCGATGGCAATTGTGGATTTCGCGTCGTCACGAGTAACATGTATTTGTGCCAGGACAAGTGGGCCATGGCGAGAGAGGCAATTGCGACCGAGCTAGAACAGAATTGGCATCTGTACAGTAGAATCTATGGGTATAAATACTTTCTATTTTCTAGTTATGATGTTTGCTGAACTTGGCAGTATTTTGCACAAATAATTTTATATGTAAATGCAGGACGGAATGCCAGGAAGAAGTCAGTCGTATACGGTGGAGTGGACAGGGTTTCGCACCTGATCGCTATTGGATGTGTGCGACGGACTTGTTCGTAGTTGCGACTATGAACAATGCAATTGTGTACTATTACGGTGCAGGGGAAGAGAACCAGTCGCTAAACAGCTCATGTTGGACTATACTACTTGTCACTGCACGCGGTGAGGCAACATGTCCGGCATATGAGATTGGGGTATGTCACCTTGGTATTTACAAGCACTTCATTCGAATCAATTTGGACGGTGACTTTCCAGTTCCACCGATCAATAATCGGTGGACTAAGGAACATCAGCCTAGCGTTGCTGGTTGGGAATTACCACTTCTTCCTAGAATTCAAGATTGGTATAGGTTGGTCCCCTCTAATCCTGGACGTGTCGTGGATTATGCTAATAATTTCATTGATCTTAGTTTCTTAGATTAGATTCATGTTTGTTTGTTTGTTGTGAACTAGATATTGGTATTATCTAGTATACACTTTGTTTGTTTTCTATGATTTGTGCAATAACAAACCTTGTTGCCTATAAAAAATAAAAAAAAAACTTATCACACGGATACCAAATAAGCTAACTAATATATAACACACAATTTGCGCATAAAAAAAAAAAAAACTAAATGCAGTCCAAGAAACAGAAAAACTAACAAATCCAGTCCAATAATACGACAATGACAATGATCATGGGGCCTTGTAATAACGGATCATCGTATCCTGCAGCTTCTCATCATATTCGTCAGCTAGCTCGCGATTAGACACTTTGACCTTTTTAATCAGGTCCGTCGTTAGCTTCCTCAATTCATTCATCCACTGAAAAAAAAAAAACAAAAAAGGTTAAACTATTTATAATATAGAAATGTATATCTACAAAAACCCAAATATTAAAAATACAACTTACATAAACCTGACTGCTCCTAGCTGGTGTAGAGACTGCAGATGGGTTAGTTGTCGGCAGCAGAAATGGATGTGAATACTGCCTGTACCATTCAAGGTACCCATCCTCACACTCTCCTACGATGTCACCGAAATTGGGTCGCCATCTGGTCAAATTAATACACGCTAACTCCGCGAATCTCCTCCAAGTACTGAGTGTGTCAACAGCAGAATGCTCTACAAAGTACTGGGTAGTCCTGGGTCCTCGGAATGCATCATCAGGGGACATGGGCGAACGAGGAATACTCTGTACGTAGCCAATCTGACATATACATCTGTCCGACATGTATGGCTCCTGCAAATTCCTATACATTATCCACCCACTGTAGATAGTTCTCGGAACTATTCCTTGTTGGCCATGTCCAAATGGCTCCCACTTTACCTGCAAAATATTATTTAAATTATTTATAAATATAAATTTCAACAAAAAAAAATGAAATACAGTCAAATGAAGCAATTATGTACCTCTAACTCGATGAAACGGTCGAGACGCTCTTTAACCTGACGAAGACGATCTGGCACAGATGTCGGCCCCGCAAAAAATGGTCGTATCTAGTCATGTACTCTGGGCCTGTCATTACCCCCACGGGTAACTCGCCCTCCATGGGGGCGAAAAATCGGGAAATACTCGTAAGTCCAGGCCTGCAGTAGGGTCAAATAACCACCTAACTGAGTGCACTTTGTCCTACTAGCCATCCCTAACTGACGGTATAAGAACGTAAGCGTAGCAAAGCCCCACGAGTATAAACCCATATTCTCGATCCCAGCCATCAGCTCATGTACAAGTGAAACACTGCACCTCCCACCACTCTTGCCCATGAACAACGTCGAGGCCAACAATACCCATAAGAAAGCAGAGGCCTGGGTATTCTCGTCTGCTTTCTGGCATCGCTCAAGGATGAACCAATCAGAGACACCGCCATGACTCCATTTGTAACCATTCACATCCAGGCCAAGTATCCCTGCTGCATGTGCCCTCAACACATCTGTCTCGGACGTACCTGACACCAACTCTCCATCAACCCCAATGCCCAAAATATGATAAACATCATGTATCATGATGGTCATCTCCCCAAACGGGAAATGAAATGAGTTGGTGTCTGACTGCCACCTCTCAATAAATGCACTCACTAAGCCAAGATCAATATCTTCATACGAGGTATGAACAAGGTGACCCAATCCAGTCCCCCGAATCTTGCCTTTCACTACATCATCCATATCTTTATACCACATCTTCAACTTATTCAGAATCTTTTCGCCTTTAAAAATCTTCAATGTGGGTCTATTGTATCCATGCCATAAATGATAAGCAATATGCCCAAGGAAGCTAGGAATCACGCTACCATCTTTCGGCCCACCAGGTACTTCATCTGTCACTAGCCATATAGTCGGATCAATTTCATCAGAAACTCTCGACTGGCTGCCGCCGCCTGTACCAATGAGTAAACCAAATATTTTTTATTATATTTTATACACATACAACAATTCAATAAATATAAGTAAAAATAATTAATTAAAAATAATTACATAATTTTAAATAATTACAACAATTAAATATAGATATTTGGTACCTAATGATGCAATAGTGGTAACTGGACGTGTAGATACTCCAGCGGAGACGGGACCTCCGCGAGGGGGCACGGGATCAATGTGGGGGAGATGCCTGAGCGGGGCGGAAGGGACGAGGCCGACTACCGGTGGATGTACCCTGTGGGAATTGACCGGGACGCGGGAAAGAGGGACTATAATGTGGACTGAGCCAGTCACCACTCATAGGAGAAGGGATAGGGGTAGGGGGAGAGGGTAAACCGCCAGGACCAGGCCGTGAACAACTGGAGTACCGGGGAGGAGGGTAACTACTAAGATTGTACATAGGCGTATTTCTGTGATGCGCACTCATCCTAACACTGTCCTGCACATCATCCTCATCAAACTCATTCTCTTCATCCTCCTCATCCTCATCCTCCTCTTCCAGGTCATCCTGAGAATACTCGGGTACATAAATCGGCTGACTAGACCGAGTCTGAAACGGTACACCACCCATATTGACGTGAGTCATTTTCATTCGCTTCTTTAACTCTTTTTCCTCTTTTTTCTTCCGACGACTCATGGTCAGATAACGCGCACGAACCTTACGCTTACTAATATCTTCAGTATCACTAGTATCACTATTATCATCATCATCACAATAAACCTATAAACAAAATTTTATTCATCATCATCATATTTTCATAGTCTAAACAAATAATTATACACATTTCTTAAATCCCAAATTGTTTAATAATTAAGTACACTTTGATTAAACGTACAATTCATTTAATAATTAAGTAAACTAAAGTCCTTTACCAAATTTTTTATTAAATTACTATTAATTATAATTGATCCAAAATACTCAACTATTTTACAAAATATTTATATTAATTAAATTAATCATAAACTACATTACAAACAAATTAGATTAGCTTTACTAATCTACTACTAATTAAATTAAAAATATAACCTAAAAACTTTAATAACTATTTAAATTAAATAATTTAATCAATTAAACTAATTAGGTAGTGAACTAATCTACTATTAATTAAATTAGTTTTTAAAATTCAACTAATTTACGTACTATTTAAATTGGATTAATTTACTCAATTAAAATGATTAATTTACTAATCTACTAATAATTAAATTAAAATATAACCTAAATACTTTAATAACTACTTATATTAAGTAATTTAATCAATTAAACTAATTAGGTAGTGAACTAATCTACTATTAAATAAATTAGTCTTTTAAACTCAACTAATTTACAAACTAATCAAATTAAATTATTTACACAATTAAACTAAACTAATCTTTTAAAAAAAGCATTCTGGCCGCCAGGCGGCCAAAGAAGCCGTCCGGCGGCGCGACCGGGACGCGCAAGAAACGCGCCCCGGTTCAACCCGGAACGAGCAACACGCCGTTCGGGTTGAGCCGGAGCGTTTCTTGCGCGTCCCAATCGCGCCATTGACGCTCATGGCCGTCCGGCGGCCACACAAAATAAAATAAAAAAAAAATTTCTACCCGCCGGACGGACAAAGAAGCCGTCCGGCGGCTCGACCGGGACGCGTAAGAAACGCGTCCCGGTTCAACCCGGAACGGCCGTTTTGCTCGTTTCGGGTTGAATCGGGACGCGTTGCTTGCGCGTCCCTGTCCCGCCGCCGGACGGCGGCCAGAAAGGTTTTTTTTTTTTTTTCTTCAATTCACAAATTTTTTTTTTAAAAAAAACGTACCCCTGATGAGATCGGCTCTTTCCCGCTTTGATCTTCCGTGTTGCCATCGATTTTGGATCAAATTAGACTTCAAAATGGGGCTTAGAAGGGTGGTGGCCTCAAGTTTTCTCTCTTTTTTTCTTAGGTGTAAGTTTGAAATGTAAGGGGCAAAATGGTCTAAAAATATTTATGGTGGCTTGAAGTAGTAAAGATGGTGGCTTCAAAAACTAAAAAAAAAAAAACAGTAGTAGATGCTCTCCAACAAAATTACCCCCAACACGTGCTACCTCCTGAGCAAGAGAGATAAACTCTAGTTCTCTGTTGTCATGTAATAGGAGGTGTAGGTCCTCCAGTCCTCCCCACTTTTTTAATCAAGTCCTACTTATTTCCCTCAAGAAAAATATGTTACTGTATTCCCTCTAGTAATAAGTCATTTTGAGTTCGTCCTAAGTTTAACTTAAGATGTCTTTTTAATCAAAATAAAAACTTTAAAAATATTTTATAATAATAAAGAGAACACAATAAATATGAAAATATATTTTTAAGACTTTTTTACTAATTAAAAACACATATTAAATTAAACTTAGGACGGATCAAAATCTCTTATGATAAGAATCGGTGGTTATTTAACCCAAAAAAGAAAAAAGTTTCTTTTCGAAATTATTTTTAGTATGAATTTGAAAATGTGGAATTTTTTTGTTCTTAAGATGGATGGAAGGAGTAACTTATGAGCAGTGTTCACAAATTATAAAGAGTGGAGTATACACAGTGATCTCGTCCTCCTCCCTCCTCCACCTGTCCAGTTTTTATCATCTACCTATTTTCTTCACTGGGATCTGAAGTTTAAAACACTTTGCCAAATGAAGTGACAATATTTCTTCTTTTCATTCGATAAATTACCCTTAATTCAGCACTAATCTTTTTTGGAGTATTAATTAATGGAGGGCATGTGTTGTGGAGTTGCTGAAACCGAAACTGCCAAACCCGTTGAGCCCAGCTCCCAATCGGCTCGGAGGCGGAGGATGGAAATTCATCAATTGAAATTTCCGGCCTCCGATGCTGCCTTTGCTCCGCCGCAGGAAAGGCGGAGGAGGAAGAGGCACAAGCTTGAAAAGTGGGATGTCCCAACCGGCCGGCCTCCGACAAGTTCAACGCTTGATGAGAGTAATCTTCCCGGCAAAAACGGTCCCGGAAATGAAAGAGATGCAGAGTCGACCAAGTCCTCTGTTTCCGCTCCGCCGTCGTCCTCTGTACCCAAATTCGGCGTGACTTCGGTTTGTGGGAGGAGGAAAGATATGGAAGACGCAGTTTCAATTCACCCGTCATTCTGCGGAGCAACAAATTCCGAAAGTTTAAGGGATCTGCACTTTTATGGAGTCTTCGACGGCCATGGCTGCTCACATGTACGTTTACAACGTCGTTGAGTTTGAGATTCCCGTTTTTCAATTTGTTAAAAAATTGAATTTTATTACAGCTTCTACAATCAATCATTAATCCTATCTCAAATCTATGGCTAATAGTTTTGGGGGGTCGTTTAATTAATCCCTATTTAGGTCGCCGTGAAATGCAAAGACAGGATGCACGAGATTGTGAAAGACGAATTGGGAAATATTGGTGAGGAAAATGAATCCTGGGAAGAAATGATGAAGAAAAGCTTCTCCCGAATGGATGAAGAAGTAACCCAATGTACTAATGCCAAGGGGATCTCCTCCTCCTCCGCCGCCTCTCAATGCCTCTGCAATCTGCGGATACCCAAATGCGACGCCGTTGGATCCACCGCCGTCGTGGCGGTTGTGTCGCCGGATAAAATCATCGTCTCGAATTGCGGTGATTCCCGGGCCGTGCTCTGCCGGAACGGGAAAGCTGTTCCTCTTTCCGTCGATCACAAGGTGAACTTTTATAATACCTTTTCATTTTTCCGTCTCTGATGATACTGTGTTCCGTCCCAAAATTATTGTCCAGTTCGGATTTTGATTTATGCTGTAATTTTTAGGTGGTTATAATTATGGGTTTTGATTTGGTTTTTTTTTGGTAGCCGGATAGGCCGGATGAATTAGAACGGATCGAGAAAGCCGGTGGCCGGGTTATATACTGGGATGGGGCCCGAGTTCTGGGTGTTTTAGCCATGTCCCGGTCAATCGGCGATAACTATTTGAAACCGTACGTTGTAGCGGAGCCGGAGGTCACCGTAATTGATCGGACACCGGAAGACGATTGCTTAATATTGGCCAGTGATGGCTTATGGGATGTGCTACAAAATGGCACAGCTTGTGGTGTTGCTCGGATGTGCTTACGTTCATCGAAGCCGCCACCTCCGTCGCCGGCGCCGGGAAATCAAGATCATGAAACCGTCACCGGTGATGATTACGCCAAGGAGAGCTCCGACATGGCATGCTTCCAGGCTTCCCATCTTTTGACCAAACTGGCTCTTGCTAGGCAAAGTACGGATAATATCAGTGTAGTGGTGGTTGATTTGAGGAAAACATAATTTTCTTTTCTTTTCTTTTTCTTTCTCTTTTTGGAGTAAGGACAATAAACTATGTTATGCAATGCCTGAGTGACACGTTTCACATGCAGTGGAGGAAAAAGCACCCCAAAATATTGTTATTGGTTGAAGGAGGAGTCTTTATTCGATTCGATTTGGGTCGGAGTAATAATCTAGCGTGTAAGAATTTTGTAATTGCAAACAATATCAAAAACTTCAAACTTCAAACCAAGATTTTGTAATTGTAATATTGTTCCAAATGGATGGATGGTGTCCTGTCAAATGTCAAGTAGATTGAAAGAGGAGCTAGTAATTAAAGAGAAATTGGTCTTTTTGGGCTGCTGAACTTTGCTACGAAAAGATTGGCAATAAAATCGGGAAAAAAGTACAATTTTCCCTAGAAAACAAATCAAAAGATCTAAATCACAGCCCCAACAGGACTTATATACATTTTTCAGGCTCCGTATCATACGTCTTCTCACTGCTTTTTTCCTTTTAAACCTTAGATCGAAAATGTAAAATACCATATCATAAATTTTTCAATATACACTACTTTTTTTATTAGAAAATTCACGTTATTTACTACAAATCTTGCATCCCAAAAATGTCGTGCGTTCTGGACTTACTCTCTTGGGATTTGTTGTTCATTATAGTGGGCAAAGATTTACTTATTGTTTCTGGAATTGTTAAAAATTACAGTATTAAAAATCAAGAAAGGAAAAAAAAAAAAAACACAAACACACACACACACACACAAAAATTACAAAAACACTCACACGGAGACACACACACACACACACACACACACACACACATATATATATATAGTGAAAAAGAAGTTCAAACATAGCCAAAAAAAATTTTGTCCGAAAAATCATTTCTTTCAAGCAACGGGTGCCAGACAAGTAAAGTAATGCTCCACCTTGGACTGTTTGTATACCAAAACAAAAGAAGCAATGTATATTAACATATTTTTTTTTAATAAAAGATACTCCTGATAGTGATAGTATTAAGGCTAACTTTACACTAATTTACTAGTATTTCTTAAGCAATGTATATTAACATTTTTAAATAAAAGCTACCCTTAATAGTGCTAATATTAAAATTTAACTTTTCACTAATTTATTATCTCTTTAAAGCTTACAAGCAATGCTCATTGCTCAACCATCTATGCTGTTTCATTGGTCATCTACACATTGTTTGATAGGAAGAATAATTTTATGAAGTCGTTTAAAGAAAGCTTTGACAAAAATATGCTCCATTTTAAAATCCAAACCATACCTTTCGGAGCTCTCACAAAAACAGTCCACTTCATTAAACTTAAACAATATGAAAAATGAATTAATGTTTATGAAATTGAAGGAATTGTAATTTCAAGATAAATACTGATGCGGGTACACCTCCTTGTGATTTAGATCCGAACGGGTGAGTCAGATCTCTTGAATGTCTCAAAAAAAAAAAACTGTATTTTTAGTTGATACGTAAATCACAAAATAATTTGAATAAAATATATACGCATTCAAATTAATTCTCATTCGATGAGTATCTATCATTTAAAAGAAACTGTAAACTTGTACTCACATCTACTTCAACAAGAATTCATAACATGATTCCTTTCTTTTTTTTTTAGGGGCACGTAAGCAAGTCATTACAGTAGGTTAGAAATTCTACCAGGTTGGGAAAAGACAATCAACAACCAATAAATTTTCACTTTTGCGCTGGACTTGATTTTGGCACTTTTAACCTGAAGACAGCGACCCAATTACCTCTAAAAAAAATTGAATCCCTAATACTTTCGTCTTAAAGAAGAAAACATTTACAAAAAAAAAAAAAAGGAAGATTAAAAATGGAAAAGGCACATCATCTATCTTCATCATACATAAGGGTCAGGTGTGATAATGTTGGTGGATGCACTGATGACAAGTCCTGTGTGTTGGCTTATTTTCTCATATCATATCGCATGCATGCTTGCTCCTTATCACGTGCCACCAAATTTTTGGTTCAATCAGTGTATCCTTTTTTCAAAATTCTGAAACGAAAATATCTCCTTTTTTCTGGAGAGAGGAGACAGAAATCTTTGTTAATGTCATACTCTCTCATATGTCTTCGCTCTTTTGCCAAGGCACAATTTTCAAACACTTTCGTACCACATTATCATTGATTGTTTACTCTCTTGTTAGCTTATTTACAGTGTTAGGAAGTCTCTTCTACGATTAAATAGGGTATTGAGGGCAGATTGTAATAGCTCGGTTAGAGCGGTTATATTTTTGTGCTTTGATGTAATGCAATGGGTATTGATTTTTGACAAAAAAAAAAAAAAAAATGTTTATCTCTTAGTCACAAAAGAGTCCTACTATTTGAACATATATATTTTCCTTTCCTTTTCAGTGGCGAAAGAAAACAATTTATTATTTGGTTGGATTTTTTTTTACCAACTTTTCCGGTATGTGTTTTTAAGTATTTTTTTAATTGTAAATGTGAAAATATAAGCTGAGAGTAGACATCTATTAATAAAATATTCTTTCAATATCAAAGGAAAACACAGGCTTCCGCCTTTGTCCTCTTTGCAATACTAAGTACAGTAAAATTTCTTCATGCCCTCACTAGTCTCAGAGAAAGGGTTACTCTTCAACCACGGTTTGTCAACATCCAATGGTTGAGTTATGTGCTTCCAGTAAGAACCAATAGATGAGTCAATTTAATCAAAAGCCACTTTTTAAGCAATTTTTTCCTCCCAAAAAAGTAATCAATTGTGTTTGGTAAAGGTCATTCCGTTAATTAATTATAATAGAGTCATGTTAAAAAGAAGGGAATCTTGGTTTACTAATTTAATTCACACCATTTGTCTTCTTATTTGTAAGCATTTTCTTCTTCCTCTATGACTGCTTTTAGCATTTTGTTCATAAAAGGAAGGGAGTCTTTCTTTTTTAAGAAAAAACACTCCCAATATGATCGAAAAATTTCCAAAGAATCATAACCAATCCAACAAAAATCATGCCAATAAGCAGTGCCGGAGCTAGAATAAAATTTAAGTTGGGGCACACAAACTCCTTGACACTTGCAACACAACTAATCTAATATTGTTTGAATGCATTTTGGGTTTATAAAAAATAACTAAATGATTATATAAAAATATGTTAAAGGTTTATTTTTGAGAGTAGAATCGATACCAATAAAAAATAACTAAATCACTATATAAAAACATGTTAAAATTTTCTTTTCTGAGAGTAGAATCCATAACAATAAAAAATAACAAAATGACTATATAAAAACATGGTTAAAAGTTTCTTTTTTGAGAGTACAATTGAATAGAATTTTGAATTTTCTCTTCAATTACTCATGACATCTTTTGAGCAATTTTTTTTTTTTTTTTTGAGCAAGTATTACATGTAAATCAATTGATAGTTTTGTAGAAGATAGGTCAATTTCATAAAAAGATGAGTTAGAAATAAATTTACAATCTATTACAAATTTATATATTTTAATTAAATTTACTGCATAGATTCCCAAAAGGCCAAACAAAAAAAGAAAAGAAAATGATCCCGTTTATAAATTGGGCAATTTCGTGGGCCTTAGTGGTGCCCTTTTCATTTGATTCAATAAGCTGTTCTTTATTTGTAATTTCATTTTTATACTGAATCATTAGCACCGAAATTACAAAATAATAAATGAGAATGGACCGATTCCAGTGGGGGCACGTGCCCCCAGTGTGGCTCCGCCAGTGCAAATAAGGCCCCCATATTCAAAACTTTTGTCTATAAGTTAACGGCTGGTGGTGATTTTTTTTAAAAAAAATTTTGATCTTTTTTTCCCATCTCTTTAATTTTGTACTACTTGAAAAGAGAATTATACTCAGACCTTGCGTTTTGGAACAGAAAAATGAAATGCTACTCTCTATTGAGTTTTTTAATATGTACTAATACTTATATAAAATCAAAAACTTAATATGAATTATTTTTCTGAGATTAAGAGAGTATAATCCAAGGCTCTTGTGGATCAAGTCCACTTGGATCAGTAGAGCAGCATTAATATGACTGGCCTTTAATCAAAATAGACATGATTGGATCCAACCCATCAGTTAAAAGCCCAAGACACAATGTTGAGTAAACTAACCTCATCAATCGGAATGGAAATCTATGAATATGAGTAAAGGAGCCTAATCCTTTTTACTTTTTACTTCATGAAAGCAAATGACACTCAGGACACGTGTCAGCTTCACATAAGTTTCTTTCTCGCCTAAACAAAAAAAAAAAAATCTTTTGCAAAATAATGATGCCAGTGTCATGTGTACATCCGAAAAAAAAAAGCTCCACAATTCTGCAAGATACAAAATGATCACCTTAAAATACTCCCCAATTTAAGGGTTTTCCAGAATATAATGGAATATTGAAAAATCAGTAAAAGAAGGGATATAATCACTCTCTATTTTAAATGTTCACGTTAAACTCTCCCTAATTTAAGGAATTTACATTCAAATCCGAAAATGATTCCTCCAATTTTTAACTCCATCGATAACATTTCAATTTTTTTCTTTTTTAAAAAAAGAAGAGATAAGTGAAGTTCAAATTCTTTTTTCAGATACGATTCTTCTCTTTTAAAAGAACAATCTCCTCTTCCAACACCCACTGCCGGCCTTCCTCCTCTCTCCTTCCTTCAAAATCCGAGCAACCAATAAAATATCAGTTCCTCCTCAGCCTGTTACTTCCAAACTGAAACCCGGGCTTCTCCGGCGAGAGAAATATTAGACCTTTGAGATTGATTTGAAACAGCCCGATTGACTATTATGGTTCTATTCTTCTGTTGTTTTGAATTCACAGAGAGAAATTTTAGTCCCAGTGGCAAGATGAGTTGTTCCGGGAATAATTATCGATGAAACAGAAACCAAAGTCACCGATCTATTGACGTTCAAAGGTAAACTCTTATGAATTAATTGTTCATAGGCCATCAGCTTTAGCCTTTAGGGGGAGAATTTGTGAAGAATGGTAAACCCTTATTACACAGATTGATGACAATGATGGTGCCCGGGTCGAACAAATCAGTCCGACTAAGTACGTCGATCAATTTGTGAAGAATGAGGTTTCAAGTTCCTATCACACGGAATTTCTTTCAGATTTTTTGTCATCTTCTCAGACAATATTCCCCTTGCTTGCTCTCTTTCTAGGTAGCTTGCTCTTCTCCCGCTGGTAATAATTTTGTTTTTGCATATTCTCATATCAATTTGATTTGAGTAGACTTACACTGTCACTTTTTCACCCCTCAAAATCAGGGTTACAATTTTATCATGTTTCACATCAATCCAC